CCTCATCTTGGCTTCCAGAACAATGTCTGCTCTCCTGCAGCTCTGAGCCCCCCAGGAGCAGCAGGCTCCCGGTCTGGCCTCGGTTTGGCTGCAGCTCACCGCTCCTCGCTGTGGCCGCAGAGCTATTTCTGCTGCTCTGACATCGGCAGCCAGGAATGATCCACCAGGCCGAGGAAGTCTGCGTGTTTACTTATGAGAGCTGTGTGCCAACACTTCAACCACTCCAGGAAAATCAGCCTGGATCTGAAGGCTTTAACCCCCAAGTTCCTGCAGCTCTGAGTCCTGGCTGGGTTTGTTCCTGTTTGGGGCTCTGCTGGATCAGATGTTACAGAAATAAGTGTAAAATATGTGTTATTGTGTTTGAAACAGGTTTATTCCAGACCATCAGTTTAACCTAAAAGGACAAAATGAAGCTTAAAGTGTCTCTTTGGTCAGTTTAATGAAAAATCCCCCTGAAAATATGAGCAAAAATAATGGAAATGTGTCAGTTTTTCCTTAAGAAGTGATGTAATCCCACAAAATTGATGAAGGAATCAGGTAAATTACAAAAGGAAATTGAATTGACTCAAACTTAAATTCAGTTTTATGAACACTTCTTCATAAAAATATGAGTCAATCATCCAGAAATGAAGGAAACTTTGTGCTGATGTGCTAAACCAGTTGACTAAAAGCTGGCCCTCAGAGCTGTGGATCATTTTAGAAACATTTATTTTCTAAAAATAAGAGCAAATTTTACTGGAAAATAATTAAAAGATTCTTTTTTTTCCCACTGAAATATGAAATAATCCCACAAATTAATTTGGGAATCAGATAAATTACTGAAAGAAATCAAAATAAATCAGAATATCTGAAATTTAAACATTGAATTTCTGCTTTCTGCCTCCAGAACCAGCTCTGATTTCCAGTAAATGAGCTCTTTTCCAGCAGATATTACAGACAGAAGTGGAAACATGAGTTCAGGAGCTGGAAACAGCTTCTCTGAGCAGCAGAAACTCGACATTTGGGGTGTTTTTATTCTCAGAACAGCTCGGGAGGGTTATGGAGTGGGGGTGCACAGTGTGAGAGTCGACCCAAACAGCCAGAAATGTCAGTATAAACCAGATTTCTGAGCCGTTTAAAGCCAGACTTCTTCCTTTACTGTTCAGTTTGACAGCCAGCACTGTGCTGCTGGGAGCCTTTGAGGCGTCCTCCGGTAACCATGGTGAGCCCCGGCATGAAGCCCCCCCCCCTCACGGAGCTGTATATTTAGGCTGTGACTGAAGCCGACACTTTAACTGACGCACAAACACATTAAAGTGCATTCCTGCCCCTTGTGAAACCGAATGCGAGGCCTGTGAGGGGCTCCCCAAACACGACTCCACATTTCCCCCAACACTCTCCCCGTTGGGGGTTTGGGACCCCTGGGGGCTCTGGCCTCATGCCAAGACCCACCAGGACCTAAAGCAGCACAGCCAGACATGCCAGATATGCCAGATATGCCAGAGCTGCAAAGACACAAAATATGCAAAAGACACAAAGATGATAAAACCTGCAAAGATGCAAAAGATGCCGAAGCTTCAAAGATGCAAAAGACTTAAAGATGCCAAAGACAAATATACAAAGATACAAAGATACCAAAGCTGCAAATATGCTAAAGACAAAAAGATACTAAAGACACAAAGGTGATCAAGATGTTCAGCTGGTCTAAACCCTGCTGGT